CCTAACGATGCTGCGGCACGGCTACCCGAAACACCTTCACTGGGAGGATTTTGCTGCAGATGGGATTATTGAAGGAAATCTTACAAAGAGGGATTTGCTTTCTGGCAAGAAGTCTTTCCTTGGGGGATGAATCTGATATTTTTGGCTGAGACCCTCCCCAGAACTTTGAATTTTCAGCCGAAAATGAACAGGAAGGCAAAATTTTGCAGAGGGGAGAAGGTGTTGGTGCGGATTCCGCAGCCACTGCCCATGCTCACCCCTGGCAGCACCCTCCAGCCCCATGGGTACCCGGCCCCGTGCTGGCAGCACCTTCATGTGCCTGGCAGAGGCAACACGTAGCCCGAATAGCCCGGGCTGCTCCGGGAAGCTCCCGAGACGAATTGGCTTTACAAAGTGAGGCCGTTTGAGCCATTTCCAGCGGACACCAGAAGCACTACCAGCACGGCAACGTTATAGCCTCCCCCCCTTGGTACCACCCCCCTGACTAATCCCTGTGGTGCTATGAACCCAGCAGTACAGACGAGGCCTTGTCACTGGAGGACAAAGATCTGAGGGACCGGGAGAGGAGAATGGCCAATAACGCCAGGGAAAGGGTGCGTGTACGGGACATTAACGAGGCCTTTAAAGAACTGGGACGCATGTGTCAGATGCACTTAAAAACGGACAAAGCACAGACCAAACTGATCATCCTACAGCAAGCGGTGCAGGTCATTCTGGGCCTGGAGCAGCAAGTACGAGGTATGGTAACAGCTGGCAGGTGCATTTCGGGGTCTTTCTCTTCCCTCCTCCCCTGCATCTCTGCGTGCGTGTGCATCTCTGTTGCGACTCCTGCTTTCGGTGCAAGGTTGTGTGTTTGCATCGCCAGCGGCACCCTTGGGTGCACAGGGCGGCAGGCTGAGCTTTCCAAAGCCCCGGTCCGGGTTGGATTCGAGGCCGTTCTGTCTGTTTTCCCTCCTTCTTAATGGGAATTTGGCACCTGGATCCCATTAAGCAGCTTTGGAAAACTCAGTCCTCAACTCCGAGAGCTGGCTGAGGCACTTGGGGTTTTCTGTAAGCAAGCACATGTTTCAGTTGGCATGGTGTTTCAGCCAGGCATGGGATTTTGCTCTAGTAGGGGTCTGGCCAAGTTACTGCAGCCACTGCAAGGAGCAGCAGGCAAAGCACAGCTTGCACTGCGATTGTTTCCTCGCATGGTCCCGTCTCTGTCCTGGGACTCTGTCCTCCTTCTCTCTTTCGGATGCTGCTGCCGTGCGCGTTGCTGTTGCCCAAACTGAGGTTGCTTCCCTCCTTCCCTTGCTGTTTTTGGCATAGAGCGCAATCTGAACCCTAAAGCAGCCTGCTTGAAGCGTCGGGAAGAGGAGAAAGTGTCCGGAGTAGTAGGAGATCCCCAGATGACACTTTCAGCTTCACATCCTGGTCTAGGAGATGGTCACAACCCTGTTGGACACATGTAAAGGTATCGTCCCAGCACCTCGCTGCGGGTCCGACCCGCTGCTGCCGCGCGCTGCTCTGCTTTGGCTGCTCGGCCCCACTCGTTCGGCACCAGCCAACGTCCTCCTTAATTTACTTTAAGTAAATGACTTGCACGTGCATGTCGTTTGCTCGTCCGTGGACACCCAAAGCCTCTACTCCGCAGAAGAGATGCAGCCGGGATGGAGGGTTTCTGTTCTCTCACCCCGCTGGGCAAGCTCAGCTCTGCTCTGCACCTCTCGGCCATGCCCCAGTTGGCTACTGGAAACCAGCGCCTTGTTTGCCTGGTGGCACTATGGGAGGGAATGAGCAGGTCCAAGAAAGACACAGAAGGTGAAATTCCCCTAGCGAGACCATGGCAGGCACAGGTTCTGCTGGGCTCTCACCATTTTTAAGAGAACCCCATGCTTGGCCAGGAGTAGCTGTGCCTGTTTGGCCCGAGCGGTGCAGGGATGTCGGTGGGGGATTGAGCAGATCCAGGAGCGATGGGTCAGAGGCCGACCCTAACAGCAAGGCTCCCCGGTACAGGGCTGCAATGCCTCAGCCCGTAGCACCCACGCACCCTGGAGCTCATGGAGGGGCTGTGGTCCCCTGACATCTCCTGGGCCGGTGGGTGCTTGGGGCTGCTCTGAAAAAACCCAAAAGGCAAAGCTGGGGTCTCAGCAGAATAGCGAGCTCGTATCTCGTCTCCGCTGCAGCCACGTCGAGCCCTCGAGGCTGACTTCTCCTGCGGAGACGAGGCTGCAGCAGAGGGGCTTGCGGCTCCCCCATGCAAGGAGCAGAGTTTTATTCTCATTTGAGTTTTATCTCACTTCAGGCTTTTGGATTTTTTTTTTTATTTGTAGATCTTTTTGTTCCTCTGGATACAGAGATCTGTAGGAAGAAAACCCTCGGTGTGACCTGCAACCTTCTTGAACCATAAACTTTAGTACTGCTAATACTGACACACGTGGACGGATCCTGGCATGACGTAAGGGGTGGAAAAAACACTTTGTCGAAAACAAAATGAAAACAAAAAAATTGCCTTAAGTATAAAGTGCAGAACAGTCAATACATATCACTCAGTTAGGAGGGGGTGGCGTGTTCTCTTGGCTTGTTCACAAGCAGCCAGCAGCAAAATTGTGCCTAAGCTTGATATTTCTTTTTTAAAAAAAAAGAACATTAGTTATGAGATTTTTTATGTAGAACAAATAGCAATGCCTTTTGGTTTTTTTAGCTTCTTTTGCATATGTTTTGTAAGCAACGAAAAGAATTTTTTTTTGTATAAAAAAATGTCTTGTACCCCACGCTTTTCTGCTGCTGTTTCTATAGTTAACGTTGCATCTTTAGGATCAACCAGAATATTAAAATTGTATTAAGAGAGACTGGATATAAAGAGAGGAATTCTCAGATTCGGCTCTGAAAGCCACTAAAAGCGAATGTAGCCACAGCAAGGGGATGTTCTTCCTTGCCTGGCTTGTACCTTCCATTATATAAAAAACAAAAAAAAAACCAACAAAAAAAAAAACAAACCCACACAAAACAAAAAACTCACTCATGTGCTGAATTCACCATCTTTGCTTTGGCAACTTCTGATTTGGGAAAAGGAAGTTAAAACAGCAAAGCAAGTAGCAGCAGTATCCCTCAGCGATGCTCCCGTTCCTCCTGGGAGGTGACCGAGGTCCATCGAGGATCTCTGCAAGATTTGCTTTACTCCTGGAGAAGCCCAGAGGCCACGGTCCCGCCTGGGAGACGAGGTGCCCCACGAGTGTCCCGGAGCATCACGATGCGGAGGACAAGTTGCCAGGATAGAGCAGGCCTTGGGGGGTGGAAGAGAACCGAGGGACATGGGTGCTTTCAAGGTAAGCAAAGAAGCAACATGGATGCAAGAGGAAAGCCCAGAGCGGAGGAAAGCACCTCGTGCCCACGCGTCTGAGCAAACGCCCGCTGTCGGAGGCACTTCCAGGGGCAGCGCTGAACAAAGACAAACTGAACAAAGCTGGAGGATTGGGAAGAGGCAGAGGCAGACGCGGAGCAAAGGCAGCGGCGGGACACCGTGCCCGGTGACCTTGCAGCAGATCGACCCGCAGACGCTGGCGGCAGGCAGTGGAGCCCAAGGTAGCAGGAAGGGGAGCAGCTGCCCAACACGTGCACTCGCTCCAGCCCTCGGCAACCCACGACCAGCAGCAGGATCCCCGTTCCTGCGCAGCTTCTCCCCGCACTGGAGCCATCACCATCGGAAGGGCAAAACGCTGCAGGCTTGGGGAGAGGGGTGGTTTCGCACCCTGCCTTAACCTGCTCTTGTATCTCCAAAGCATCCGTGGAGGCAAACAGGGCTCGCTATGCTGCCCGGCTTGCCATGGGGATGCAGAGTGGCCACTGTCACCTGCGTGTGGGCTCCTCTGTCCATGCTGGAAGGGAGGGGAGCAGTGAGTGCCAAGCTGGGCCACCGATCCCTTTTCTCTGAGGGCTTCCCAGAGTCGCTCCAGACTGCTCCGGTGCGCTCAGTGGGAGGAAGACCCCCGGCACCCCCACCGCATGGCAGGATGCACCGGAGATGCGGGAGCAAACGAAGAAGTGCTTGGCAGTGCTGAACTGCGCCAGCCATTCGGCAGTTGGCAGTGGGAGAGCGTCCACCGGGAATTTATTCTTGTTTCTTCCATCTCCTTCCCCTTCTGAAACATTTTGTGCCTGATTTTTCCCAGCTCTGCAGGCAGATGGGGTCAGCCCCCCGGGGGGATGTTAAATCCCATCTCAGCAGTGTCTGTAATGCTCTCGGACTGGGGCTGGCTGCTGCCGCCTGGCAGAGCCCGATCGGGCAGGATAGTTCATGGGGCATGGGTGCTGGCCTGGGGGGGACATGGGGACAGCGAGTACGGTAGGACCCCCGGCAGCAGGGTCCATTTCTCCTCTCTGCTTCTCTGGCCTGTGCTTCTGGGGAAGCTGTATTGCTTTGGCACAGGGAAAACGAAGGACTAGCGAACAGAATTAGGTCCTGTGGCACTTCCAAGCCACCCCAGGCTTTAGCATAACCTCCTGGTGCTCCTCTGTGCTCGTAGCTGTGCTGTGAGCTCCAGCAAAGCCTGCTGGAAATGCTCAAGACATTGCTCATCTCCCACCTACACCCGAGTACCGTGGGCTCAGCCCCTTTTAGCATCTCCGAGAGGAGCCACTTACCAGTGCCGGAGCAGTATGAGACCATCCCTCCCTGCTGCCCCTGGCACTGCCCTGGGACTCTGCAACATCCAGCCATAGCTCTGAGAGTTTGGGGTGCTCCAGGCTTCCCCTGCCCACTGCTCCCACCATCGCTTCTGTATGGTGAGACCTGAGACCGCAGCAGCCTCCAGCTCTGTCCCCAGGAAGGCCGGGAAGGGTCGGTGGCTGTGATCCCTGCAGCCCAGGAACACGCGTTCTTCTCGCCTGTGTCAACAGACATGTTTCAGCCTAATTAGTTTGTCAGGTTACAACACTCTTCCCTCCCTTGGGTTCTTCTGCCTGCTTAAGCACTGGGCAGCGTGAGACGAATGAGATTTTCCTCTGGGTGTGACAGCCTTGCCCCCGTGGAGCAGCTCCCTTGCAGCAAAAGCCGTGTCTTCCTGAAGCATCCTGCAGGGTTGGGTTGTGCTTCAGATGCTGGAGCAAGTTGAGTTTGGGAATGGTAAAACATGCAGGGAGGGGGCAGTGCCCCTCCGTAGCCCACCAGCCGGGTCCAGATGCTCAGATAACCCCAATTCATGCTCTGGGGTAGGAATTTGGGGACTCATCAGCTGCTTTCCACAGTATGTAAGAGGCTGCTTCATCCTGCGAATGTTTCTGCCCTGTGGGCAGGATGGTGCTGGGGCTGGCAGGGTGCTGGCAGGGTGCTCCCTGCTCGGGGTTTTCTGCTGGCTCAATGCCACTCCCCCAGGAGCGGGGAGGGATGGAGCAATGTCCCAGCCCTGGCAAGCTTGAAACCGTACAAAAAGAAATTAAAAAGTGCTTCCCCAACACTTTGCTTTTGCAACAAGGATTTGAGATGACAGTTACGTCCAACTGGATTTAAAGAAAAGAGACTGTAATCAAGAAAAATGCAGAAACTCAACAAAATTGGAAATTTGAGAAGATTTATGATTTGTTCAAAATGTTGCTGAAGTCCTTCATCCCCTCCGAGTCCCGGCTGACAATCTGGAGGGCAGGGGGGACTCCTGGCAAGACAGAGCCTTTCCCGTCATCCCCAAACCAGCAGGCATTGCAACAGAGATGGGGCTTTTCATCTGCATTTGGGTGGTTTAGATGCTATTTTCTTGACAGCAAAATGAGCTCCCTTCCTTGGCAAGGCTTGGAGGAAGGTCCTTGAGCATAAATCCTCCGGTGCCAGGGTTTGGAGGAGCTGTTGGTTCCTCCAGCAGGAAAGCGCAATGTCAGGAGCTGGTAGTGCTGTGCCCGGGAGCTGCCTCGATGGCGCAGGGTGCTTTGTGTGCCGTCACGGTGCCGGTGCCAGCCCGGCGCAACCTCGGTGGCATCTCTGCTCTTGTGGTGCGTAGGGAGCAAATTGCGGAGTGCAGCAAGGAGAAATTACTTTGGCTTGCCGGTGTGTTTGGCTCAGTGTGAACGTGGTGCCTGTAACCTGCCAGGGAAAGTGGCTTTTCTAAAAATGAGAATTGTCGGGTGCTGTCCCCAAAATACCACCGGACCAGCCCTGAAATATCAGCCTGTTGCAATGAAACTCTCCCCTTCAGGTGTCGTGGTCGGAGAGGGCCAGGGTCTGCTCCTTCCCCAGCCCACAGCTCTGCTGGCAATTCAACTCCGCGATCTTCCAGATCACTTTTCTCCCCAAATTCGCTTCTCTGCCTGTCTGCATGTCCCTCGCACCGGCGGTCCTGCAAAGAGAGGTGTCAGGGATGAGTGACACGCTGCGAGGTGGCATTTCATGTTCTGCTTCCTCTCTCAGCCTTGCATGTGTGGGTTCTCCTGGGCTGCGTGCCCTTCATCGTTGGGGGCCACACAGCCCCCACAAAGCTTCGTTCGTCAGATAGGGAATCACAGGAGAGGCTGCCTTTCCCTGAGTCCATTTTCGAGTTTTTCTTTTCCTAGGCTGCAGTAACTGAGCTGCATCGCGGTCAAACAGCAGAACTGGGGTCCCAGGCACGCGGCTGCCG